GAAGCCCTAATGGGGGTATAGTTGATTTATATTATTATTAGTTTCAAGTGACAAAATAGTGTTTCCCAGTTTCTTTAGATTACACTCCATTTAAAGCTCTTATAAAATATTGTCATTATTTCACATTCTGTACATTATTTCCTTGTAGCTTATTTATTTTGTACGTGGTAGTTTGTACTTAACTCCCTGCCTCAGTCTTCCTTGTCCCCCTCCCCCCGACCCCTCTTCCCACAGGTAACCACTAGTTTTCTATATCTGTGAGTCTGTTTCTTTTTTGTTACATTCATTAATTTTTTAGATTCCTTATATAACCAATAACATACATAGTATTTATCCTTATGTAAGTAATAATATACATAGTATTTATCTTTCTCTGACTTATTTTACTTAGCATAATACTCTCTCAAGTCTATCCATGTTGTTGCAAATAGAAAAAAAATGCATTCTTTTTTATGGCTGAATAGCATTCCACTCTGTGTGTGTGTGTGTGTGTGTGTCTGTGTGTCTGTGTATGTGTGTATATATACACACACACCATGTCTTTGTTATCCATTCATCTGTTGTTGGACACTTGGGTTGCATTCATATCTTGGCTGTTATAAATAATGCTGCTTTGAACCTTGGGATTTTTTTTGAATTAGCATTTTCAGTTTTTTTTTGATATATACCCATGAATGAAATTGCTAGATTTTGTGTAATTCTATTTTTTAGTTTTTTGAGGAACCTTGGCTGTTTTCCACAGTGGCTACACAAGTTTACATTCACATTAACAGTGTACAAAGGTTCCTTTTTCTTTACATCCTCTCCAACATTTGTTATTTTTGATCTTTTTGATGATAATCCTTTTGACAGGTGTGAAGTGATGTTTCACTATAGTTTTGATTTGCATTTCCCTGATGATTAGTGATGTTGAACATCTTTTCTTGCACCTGTTGGCCATGTATATATCTTTTTTGGAAGAATGTTCAGGTCTGGCCATATTTTAATTGAGTTACACTGTATTTTAAAATTCAGATTACTTTCTCAAGCTAAGATTGTAATGAATTTAATTTTTAAAATTTAGTTTTAAATTTAAATATATTTATATCCATTCTATTGAGTCATCAGATTATTATCTTTAATATTTGGAGAATGAATGTTTAGAAGAAAATTCTTTTTTCTTTTAAACCTGATAGCTAAGTATATGTAATTTATATAGAGACCATACTTTCTAGTGGAATATATGTGTGGATTGCTTTTTGTTTGTTTGGTTTTGCTGTGAACCATTTCACTTGAGGTATCTTGGTTTCCCTATCAGGGACTGAGCCTGGACCCTTGGCAGTGAGAAATCCTGGAGTCTAACCCCTGGACCAGCAGAGAACTACTTATCTGTGGCTTTAGTAGTGGACAAACAAAATGTACTTCACAGTGTTAGCACATTTTGGTGAGAAGGGAAGGGACTTGTGCTTTTATTATAGCAAATTATATGCGTAAAAGAATTTTACATATATATGTATTTTGCCATGAGATGACAAGAACTATGAAGATTCAAGTACCATATTTAACATTATAATCCAACATGTAGAGTCTGTGTTTACTTTATTCTTTAAAATTTAGTTTTTTCCATATATCCTTTGAAATATTTATGAATTTTAATAGGACATACTTCAAAAAAATCCTCAACAAATATAGCATTGTTTAAGGAGCGTCAAACATAGGATTAGTTTGCTAGCGTGTGAGATGAGTGCAATTGTGCAGTAGTTTGAGCATTCTTTGGCATTGCCTTTTTTGGGATTGGAATGAAGACTGACCTTTTCCAGTCCTGTGGCCACTGCCGAGTTTTCCAAATTTGCTGGCATATTGAGTGCAGCACTTTCACAGCATCATCTTTTAGGGCTTGAAATAGCTCAACTGGAATTCCATCACCTCCACTAGCTTTGTTTGTAGTGATGCTTTCTAAGGCCCACTTGACTTCACATTCCAGGATGTCTGGCTCTAGGTGAGTGATCACACCATCGTGATCATCCGGGTCATGAAGATCCCTTTTGTACAGTTCCTCTGTGTATTTTTGCCACCTCTTCTTAATATCTTTTTCTTCTGTTAGGTCCGTACCATTTCTGCCCTTTATTGAGCCCATCTTTGCATGAAATGTTCCCTTGGTATCTCTAACTTTCTTGAAGAGATCTCTAGTCTTTCCCATTCTGTTGTTTTCCTTGATTTCTTTGCACTGATCACTGAGGAAGGCTTTCTTATCTCTCCTTGCTATTCTTTGGAACTCTGCCTTCAAATGGGTATATCTTTCCTTTTCTCCTTTGCCTTTGCTTCTCTTCTTTTCATAGCTATTTGTAAGGCCTCCTCAGACAGCCATTTTGCTGTTTTGCATTTCTTTTTCTTGGAGATAGGTGGTCTTGATCCCTGACTCCTGTACAATGTCACGAACCTCTGTCCATAGTGCATCAGGCACTCTGTCTATCAGATCTAGTCCCTTAAATCTATTTCTCACTTTCACTGTATAATCATAAGGGATTTGATTTAGGTCATACCTGAATGGTCTAGTGTGTGTATTCTAGGTCTGAATGTGTGTATTCTTACATATACTCTCTTGGAAAGAAGAGAGTCCAGCACCATCCATTCATTTGACTTTTGCTTTAAAAGTATGTTTTAAGTACTCATTTCTTTACATTCCCTTGTGCTTAGCATTTCAGAAGGATTCTCTCACTGGAAATTCCTCCTTCCTCAAGTTAATTTGTTGATAATTGAGTCACTGCCCAAATCATTAAGTTGATCATTATTGATATTGTGATACAGTAGAATGAACCACTGGATGGCAAAGACTGGATTCTGGCTTGGTTAGAACTGCTTAATAGTTTAGACAGTTATTGAAGTTTACACAAGACAAAGAAGTTTGAAGCACAGAAAATTTACTTATTTGTGTGAAGTGGAAATCCTGCCTCTCAAATATGACTTGTAATCAAATGATACATTTCAAAGCACTTGTAAACTTGTGTTTAACAACAAAAGGTATTTGATTTCACTGAGATATTTATGAATTGTAATAGAAGTCTTAATTTTAATGAAGTCTCTCAGAAAGTCATGATCATTTGCAGATCTAGTACTGAGGCCACAATCTCAGAGTCAGCTAACAAAATTGATATCAGTCCTGATAATTTTGTTAAATTTTAAGTGATATTTTTAGCTTTGTTAGATTGCATTACAGAAATGCATAATAATGATTAATTTTACTGTTGTGGTACTGTTAGTATATCTAAACATCTAGAGCCTAAATATTGTTGTAAAGTCAGATACTCACTTTCTGTTCTCTCAGTATTGGAGATGCTAGGAACTTTTGGGAGACAGGAAAAAGATCAGACCATGCGTACAAAATGGTGACACAGACCCCACCTTTTTTCTTTTTTTTCTTTTTTTGTAACTTGAAGAATTGGGGTAAGGTTTTATGTTTCTGAGAAGTGAATTTGTGGCAGGCAGTTCATGAAAACTTTGAAATTCTGGTAAATGAATTTATTAGGACAATGATGTATCACTGTTAACAGTGCTTTACTTACTATTCTAAAAAATAAAATTATCTAGTGTTTTAGTCTGGAGAAGGCAATGGCACCCCACTCCAGTACTCTTGCCTGGAAAATCCCATGGACCGCGGAGCCTGGTAGGCTGCAGTCCATGGGGTCGCTAAGAGTCGGACATGATTCAGCGACTTCACTTTCACTTTTCACTTTCATGATTGGAGAAGGAAATGGCAACCCACTCCAGGATTCTTGCCTGGAGAATCCCAGGGACGGGGGAGCCTGGTGGGCTGCCGTCTATGGGGTTGCACAGAGTCGGACATGACTGAAGCGACTTAGCAGCAGCAGCAGTGTTTTAGTCAAATATTCTGTTAAGATAGAACTTCTTTGTCCTGTTTTTGATGTGGTTGGGGGCTTAGATTCTTTGATACATAATACTGTGTTTACCAACTGTGGTTGTAGGGATTCAGCTTGTGATCTGAACGTATTTTAGAGTCTGTGTCCCTGATGTGATGAAAATTTACCCATCCTAGATTTACCTGGTATTATTGGACTTCCCATTTTAAAACGGGGATAGGCCCAGGCAAACTGAGACAATGTTATTTTCCTATAAAGTTAGTGGCCAGAAAGGCTAATCCAGAGAAAAAGATGTTTGTTTATGAAAGGAATTTGTTTTGCTTTAAAGATACTTGTGTTTACTAGTATTAGCATATGAGGTTTCTCTGTAAGGTTTAGACGTATTTTTGAAATTTAGGACTGATGATTCTTGAGGTATAGCCTCTTTTATTTTGGTTTAAATTTGAATGATAACCATTTGCTCACACTGTACAGGTGGCTTTACATAATTAACTGTTTTCTTTAGAAATCTGAGATCAATTTTTCCAGTTAAAGAAACTAAAACTGAAGGAATTTAACTGATTTCTACCAGTGTAACTGGTAGATAGCAAATGTAGATTTGGAACCTAGGACTTTTGGTTCTCCAGCTCTAGTAGGTTTTCATCAGAGAAATACAAGCTGAATCTTAGGTTAACATGCTAAGATCTGGAAAGGAACATAATTCCTGGTGGCCTTTCTGGCATACAAAGTACTGATGATGGTTAAATGCACTGTTTTCAGAGGGTCTGTTTCTGAAAATTCTGATGAAAAGGTATGAACCATTTAGGAAAATATAGGTATAGGAACTTTTAAATATAATTTCAGTAGCATTATAGATCAAATAATAAACTGTGTTGAAAGGAGAAACTGTATTATCAGGAAGTATGCTGTTTATCTCAACTCTGTTTTCATAAGCATTGTGTAGTAATAAATAGCCAGAGAAGCTAAAATACCTCGATTTTGTGCAGATTTTTTTGGTTTGTTTTACTGTTTGTAAAAGGCTTTTTTGCCTTGTTTCACTTGCCTCACATTTTGTTTTAAAAATCTGAGACAGAATAATTTAGAATTATGCAGTGGTAATAGGAATTGTCTTATGTTTAATGTAATTAACTCCATATCCTTCAGGTAAAAAGAACATATTCTCACGGTACTTATAGAGCTGGCCCAATGAGACAAATCAGCTTGGTGGGAGCAGTTGATGAAGAAGTGGGAGATTACTTCCCTGAGTTCCTTGACATGTTGGAAGATTCACCATTTTTAAAAGTAAGAGAAAACAATGTGAAGCAATCTAAGTTGTGGGTGTTACTTTCATGCTACAAGTGATACAAATCATGGCTTTTCAGAATTATAAAACTTTTTATTTCAGTTGATTTGGCAGGAAGGGAAGAGATGAGAAACTAAAAGTAATTCTTGTGTTGTGTGTGTGTGTAACTTCTCAGGTACTAATTCTAATAGCAAAGCTGAGTGGTAGATCAGAAAATGATACTTGCCTGTAGCTGCCATTAGGAAAATAAGTTTCATTGGTTTATCACCTTTTTATAAACTTGAGTGCCAGAGGATTTAAGAAGTATAGGATAGGTGCTTACCACAGTGTTTGCGACTGGGGAGTGACAGTTTGGGTGTGTGGAAAACTGGCCTGGCAAGTTGTATAACTGTATTTCAGCTTTGGAGATCCTAGCTGGGTTGGGCAAACCAGTTAACCTTTCTGGGCTTCAGTGTCCTCATCAATAAAATAAGGTATTTAAACAATGCAGCTTTAAGGCCCTTTTAAATTCTTTAAATGATTTTGAGCTGGATTCTGTTTTCTTTCTTCCTTTCCTCCCTTCCTTGTTTTCCTTCCTCCTTTCTTTTTTTTTCCCTTTCTTCCATTTTCTTTCTTTTCCCAGTGGTTTCTGCATTCCAGAAAATATTTCTTCTTATGGGCTGCTAGCACTATCCTATTGAGAGAAAAATCTCTGAACTATGTAGTTAGGTCAGTTATTTAATCAGTAATTCAAAGGTCAAAGTGTGACAAGATTAGTTTATCTCTAATACTTGGTACATGTTCTGTAAAACATCTCTCTCTCTTTTTCTTTACTTCTCACTCAATTTTCTAGCCTATGTGTATATATATATCTTTTCCTTTTTCATCCTACTCCATTTTCCTTTTATTTCCTTTTTTTGTTCCTTTTAAACCATTGGTTCCTTGTCTGTTTCTCCCAGCTAGTGACATGGAATTTGGTTGCATTTATTTTGAGTTGCATTTTAAAAATACCATCATTTCTTTTACAACATAGCATTTCCTTTATATACTCAGAATTGAATTAGAAGTTTCAAGCCTCATTCAAATTTATTTTTAAAAAATCGCTAAGATCATAAGCTTTCTAGACTTTTAGCTGTAATACTAGATGCCAGAATAAATGGAACTATATCAGAGTTTTGAGTGACTATAAATTAGACCTAACATTCTATTCATACTTAGTCAAACAAGTGGAACCAAAATGTCATAACATTTATAGTTAAGCAAAAATTCATAAGTTTTCTAAAATATATATACATATCTCAGAAACATAAACTGAAATGGGAGTACTGAATATGAAATAGAAAGAGTGAAACAAGCTAAATAAAAATTAAAGATCGTCATACAGCCCTATTGTTTTTAAATATGGCTGCTTCCTTAGAATCACATTTGGAGCTGTGGAGAAGGAGGGAAAAAAAAAGCCTGGGCATTTATATTTGTCAAAAAATTCCAAGATAATGCAAATGTGCATCTGGAAAACAGGAAATCAACATGCGATAAAGTTTTATTAACTAAAGTACACATTATGTTCAGATTTCACAACATTTTAAGCTAGTGTCCATTATTTGTTTTCATGCATTATTTTTAAGAGTCCACAACATATTTAGTTGCATTGAGCAGCTTCAGCTGCATGCAGCAAATTCTGATAAATTATTTTTTTCATTTTTATTCTGTTACAGATATTTTCTAATTTTCCTTGTTATGGCTTCTTAGATACACCTATCATTTAAAAGTGGATGCTTAATTTCCAAATAGATGGGTTTTTAAAAGTATCTTTGATGTTAATTTCTCACCTAACTGCTTTTTTTTCTGTAATCACCCTCTGTGCTTTTTTAGTCTTTTAACTTTATTGAGGCTTTTCCAATGGTAAGTCAAAGATTTCTCTTGGTAAATGTCACATTGTACTTGAAAATATGTGAGTTATTTTCAGATAGCTTTTGGTATTGATTTCTAAAATAATTCCATAGTGATAAGACAACAGATTATGTATGATTTCAATACTTTCAGATAATGAAATTTTTGCACTGTTTTATGTCCCTGGATATGTTCCAGTTTCTCCTGGTTTATAAAGTCTGTGGGAACTTGAATAGGGTTTGTATCCTGTTGTTGTGTGAAAATTCTATAAATTTTAATTATGTTGAATTGGTTTATGGTGCTTTTCAGGTCTCTTTTATCCTCCTACTTCTCTGTCTTCATTTTATTAATTTTTGAGAGTTTGATATTGAAACTACAACTAAAAATCTTAATTTATTTATTAAAAAAGTTGTAATATACTGGAACTATATGTAACTTTGTTCTGTAATTTCCAAGTACTCCTGTAAATGTTATCATACTTTCATAATTGAAGAAGTAAAGAAAAAAATAAAAAATCATTTAAATATTTATATTTCAGATTTTAATCTTAAAAGTAAATGAGCGAAATAAACGCATTCTTCCTGGAGTAATGTAATTTGACAACCTCCCCTTTTTGAAAAGGGAGGTATAGTTTATAAATACCCATTTCTCACTGTTCTATGGATGGTGACTCTTGGTCATTCTCTGTTGCTCCTGTTTTCTTTTCAAATATTTTAATCCCTGGTTTTAGACCAGCAACCTCTTCAAGGAACTACTACACAGAAATAAATTTTAATTTTGGTTTAGTTTTCCTCTTTGTTCTGTTAGGTTTTAATTATAACTACTCAAAGAGGTAGCCCCCTTTTATTTGAGGTATCCATTTTTTAAAACTCAGTTGGTCATTTTGATAGATTGTCATGGAAGATAAAACTTGCTTATTTTGCCAATTTGTTAACATTATATTGTCGGGTTGGTTTATTTTCTTTCTCAGCTCTTGCCTCATCACAACAAAAATTTGGAATGACTGACTAAAGGGTTTAAGACAACTGACAAGTTACAGCTCAGTTCAGCTCAAGCAGGCTGATCTTTTATTAGATAGACACCCCCAAAATATGAGAGCAGGCCCACCCCAAAGGAGTCTTCCTTTTCCATCTGGGTTCCCCTTTTTATACTTCCAGTTTCTTCCTTTGGTTATGCTCTGTGCAGAATAGGGCTTGTACTCACCACCAGTCAATGAAAGGGAATGCCAATGGGCATACATGCAAGCCCGATTGACAATTGCAAGTCATATAACAGTAGACTGTGTTGTTTATATATTTCCAAAATTCAGTCTGTTATAATCAGATGTAGTATATTTATGAACCCTTAATGGGCCCCTAGCTGCCTAAGATTACTTGGGGAAGACCCTGTGGTTATTTTGTATCCACTGTGGGCCTAGGGTACATGTGCAGGAGTTGGAAAAGTCTCTGTGGTTATTTTTGTAGCATAATCTGTGCACTCTCCTGTGTGTGTCTGGATGGGTTTTAGAGATCAGCTTGCATCGCTTTCAGCCAGGCCATCCCTTGTTGATCATTCCTAACTTCCTACTTAACAATATGATCCATATATTTGGTAGAAAGATTAACAAATGATGAATACAGTGAATCATACCTCTGGCAGAATTGGAGAAGTGGAGGAAGCCATCCAAGAATAATTATCCTCTTGATGTGTCTGAAATAGAATATTTTGAAGGCAAATTTATGAATATATTAGAAACTTAGAAATATATTTAAAACAGGTACATAATTCAAATGTATATATGAAATTTTGTGAAGGACACAGTAGTCTTTAATGTATATTTGAAGATTCGTTTTAAAAAATAATCGATTTCTATGTCATTATTTGCCTCTAGTGTACACTGCCCTGGGGGACACTATCTAGTTTAAAATTAGAGAGTCGGAAAGATAGTGATGATGGTCCCATCATGTGGGTGCGCCCAGGAGAACAGATGATCCCTGTGGCTGACATGCCAAAGTCACCTTTCAAAAGGAAAAGGTATGTTGGATATAAATGTTTATTGCTGGGAATGAGTGTTTGTACATTGGTATGTATGCATTTGTTGAGAATGAGAAAGTTGGAGGAAGAAGGTAGGTAAAGTTTAGAGCATAATTGAAATGTAAATTCAAAAATGGTTACACATGCTGATATAATTTCTTATAAATATAAAATATAAATAAAACATGAAAAATGGCAGGCAAATGACAAATTGTAACCAGAGATGGGAAAAAAACGTTATTCACAACAGGGACATTATAAACTGTATTGGAATAAATTGAATAAATATTCAGAAACAAATTTAAATAATATTTGAAGAAAACTGAAACATCTATGGAGTATATAAAGAAAGATTTAAGCAAATGTTTAGATCTGTACTCTGGATTGAATACAAATGGTAGTCCTTTAGAATTCATTTGGACTCACACTTCCAGCACTGGATAAAATAATTTCAAAATTCATATGGAATAATAAAGTCAGCAGATAGTCTAGAAAGCTGTGAAAGAGAAGATACATGTGAGGGGGGAACCTCATCTTACTCAACATTAAAAATTACCATAAAGGTCAAAAAGATCACTGGAATAGGGTAGAGTACACAAATAGATCAAATTATAATGGGAACTTAATAATAAGATAAATGGGGGAAAAAAGTTTATTTAATGAATAATGCTGGCATAATTGGAAGTCCATTTGAAGGGAAACAAAGCCATAACCCCAGTGTTATATAAGAAATAAGGGATTTGAACATAATAAGTAAAAAAAAGAATAAAAATATCAGAATAAATACTTAAGCTTAAGAGAAACCTTCCTAAACAAAGATGCAAAAACATAATGGTGATACTGTTGTGAGAAAAAAGACATCAACACAGCAAAGCTCAAAACTGGACTTGTAACGTGACAGACTAAAGTTAACATACAAAGAGCCTTTCTAAATGAGAAAATGTGAAAAAAAAAAAACCCAATAGATAAATAGGCCCTAGGCAGTCAGTTGTATATTAAGTGTATGTTAAAAGAATTATGGGATATTATTTTTAATACAGTGATTATATTATAGGGTGGTAGGTACATGAGGAAACAGGGTCATATATATTATTGGTTGATGGGTGAGCTTCTGTAATCATTTTTTTAAAGTAATCTAAAATAGCTCATAAAACTTCACACACACACACACACACTCTCTCTCTCTCTCTCTTTGAACTAGGATCCCTAGTTTTCGGAATCTTTCCCCCAAAACAAAAGCACTAGAGGTAAATGCATAAGAATGTTAATTGCAGCATTTATTATAGTGAGATCAAATATAAAATGATCTCATTGTCCATTATTAGAATGGTTGAATTCATTTTGTTATATTCCTATGAAAGAATGGGGCTTCCCTGGTGGCTCAGCTGGTAAATAATTTGCCTGCAATGTGGGAGACCTGGGTTCGATTCCTGCGTTGGGAAGATTCCCCTGGAGAAGGGAACAGCTACCCATTCTGGTATTCTGGCCTGGAGAATTCCATGGACTATATATAGTCCATGGGGTCGCAAAGAGTCGGACACAACTGAGTAACTTTCACTTACAGAAGAATGCGGTGAAATAGTTAATTTTATAGTATGAATTTTGTCTGTTGAGCTGAAAGAATATCTGATGAAAAGAGCTAAATGTAGAGTATATGCTAAGTATGATTCTGTTTTTATGAAAAAAAAATAAAAAGCATGTGTATAAGAGTATGTGTACACACAGAGAAAAGTGTAGAAAAATGTACATTAGGTTAACATTGTTGGGAATGGAGTAGGTGATCTTGGGGGGAGGTAATATTTTTTTTTTTTAGATATGTAAAGATGGTCTCTCTTTTTATTATTAAAAAAAAAAAAGAATAGGGAAAATGGTGATAGAGTAAAATGTAGATTACATGAGAGCATGGACAATGTATGCTTGTTACAAATTTCTCTAGCACCTAAACAGAATGCCTGGTGCTTAATAAATAAATTTTTGTTGAATGAAATTTTTACAAGTTGATTTTTAAGTTGGGAGTAAATGGTAAACTTGGTATGTATCTCAATGATTAATTTAAATTTATAAATCATTTAGAGAATCCAAAAGCCTCTCCCCAGAACAATGTATATTGTTAACATGTAATTTAAGGGAGTTCACCAACCCCTTGAGGAGCTCAAGGATTAAAATCCATGGTATATATGGTCATTTCCCATCATGTTATAGTCTTACCAACTAATGAGAACATTGCCCTAGGCACTGTGCCAAATGTGTGTTTTTTTTGGGGGGGGGGCAAATGCTTTTAATCAAGTCTCAGTTTATTATAATGTGGTATAATGAGACCAGCCTTGCTTGTTTGAAAACCTGTTAGCTTTTCACAGAAAGCAACATCATCATCTAGCTTTCTGATATCTGTAAAACATTAATCACAAAAAGGAAAAAAGGATATTAAAGCATTGTGTATGTGTCTTTGTGTCTCTGTGAATGTTTGTATAAAACTTTAAGACGAGAGTGCACAAAGAGCGGTGAAGTAGTAGAGATTGAGGGTGGGAGATAAAGAGAACCAAAAGGAAGAGTGACCCTAGGGGATAAACTAGGATGAGATAAGAAAATAATGGGGGCAATCCTGATTTGTCTCTGTAAGCAAAAGAAAAATCATACAGGGTGATAAATAAGGTGATGACTCTCAAAGTAAATTCTCACCCTGTTCCCCTTCTGCAGCAAGATTTGAGAGGGTTTCTGCAGTGAGTGAGGCTAGGTGGTAAGCAGTTTCTGTATGTAAGGATTCTAGAAGGTGAGTGGTGGAGGAGAGGGCCAGTGGGAGATGTCTGTCCTCCACAGTGGAGCTACAGTGTTTTTTTTTCCCTCCTACTTCCAGTAAACTATGTGTGTTTTATGGAAGCACTTATTGCCAAGTGTTTTCTTGCTGTTTATATTTTGGTATTTCTCCCACAAGAATATAAACTCCCTCAAGAATAAGGAGTTTCTCTTATTCCCTGCTGTCTTGTTGACTAGCTCTAGTGCCCAGGTGTAGTACCTGACTTACAGTAGGTAAATATTTGTAAATATTAATGCATTTTAAAAAGTTAAACCTGTGAATGCCTTAATACAAATGTTTGAAGGCAGTTAAGCCTTAATATTTAAGCCTACCTCTGTCTCTTTATATACATATATATATGTAAATTTTTTTTTAAAAACAGAACTACCAATGAAATAAAAAACCTGCAGTACCTACCTCGAACTAGCGAGCCCCGTGAAATGCTCTTTGAAGACAGAACAAGAGCTCATGCGGATCACATAGGACAAGGGTTTGAGCGACAGACTACCGCTGCCGTTGGAGTGTTGAAGGCTGTGCACTGTGGAGAGTGGTACGTGTTCACTGCTGCTCCGTAGTGGCCCCTAAACTTCTTCTTGGGAAGGTTTTCAGTAATTCTTCTTCATGTGGAGGAAAAGGTTTCAGTTTCCTGTTTTGGATATTGTTTTTGTGCAATTGCACTAAAGATTTTCACCTGATAGAATCTAGATTTTATCTTTTGGATTTGACTGAAATAGTTTGGTTTTGTACGTGACTGGAGTTGAAAACAGTTGTCTTACATACAGTAATGGAAAACCCAAGGTTCACTTGATGCTTACTGTATGTTCATTTACAAATGTTCAGTTAATTTTCTCTGCTTTTTGACTCATAGTTTTTACACAAGGAGACTAAGATTCAGGACTATCAAATAGTATTATCATAGTCATATAGCTAATAAGTGGTAGAGCTCAGTCTGATTTCAGAACTGACTCCAGCTTCTTGTCCTTTATACTGTTTTAACTTGCTGTCTTTTTAAGGTTTGGTATCTATTAAGTGTTTGTTTACCTTAGTATATTAGATTTTTCCAGCTGTGCTTGCAAGTTTCACTAAATCTTTTGATAGATTAGAAAAAATTGATAATTTTCTTAAGGAAAATGGATAATATACTTAAGGTGGTTGTCTCATACATTAAGAGAATTTCCATTTACTAAATTGACAAAACCTGTAGAGCAAAGCTATATTTATACTGTAACGTAACTTTGGTCAGTTAGGTTTTGTTTTCAAATTGGGTATTGTTTGGGTATGAAACTTAAGTTGAAATATGCTATTTTACTTATTAAAGCAGTTGAATTAAATATTTAGCATGTAAGAAAGTTTTCTAAGTAAAAAGAAACTTTAATTCTGAAAATATAAAATGTCAGTATTGTTGCATAAATTTATGAGATGTTTTGAATAATATGGCCTGTATTTTCTACATGAGGAAATTGTATTTTCAAGAGTTGTGAATACAAAATTGACCCTATGTTTAAAAAAGAAAATTTAAAGTAATATTTTATAAATTAATACTGAATGGGGAAGCCAGTGTAAACTGACTTTCTTCCTTAACATAAATGAAGCTTTATGATTTCAGATATGCAAAGTAGCTAGTACCAAGTTAACCCTATGAGTTCTTTAGGAAAATGATGTTAATAATTTAGTCATTTATGATTCAATAATAATAATAATTGTGTTTAAGTTAAATGGTAATATCTGTGGTGATTCCCATACAGTTTCAAAGTTCTTACTATAATCTGGTTTAAAATGCTAATTTTGTCAAAGACTAAAGGCAAATTTGTCTGTGGAAATCACTAAAACAAACCCATTTCAGATTAATGGGATTTTTCGTGAATGTTTGGTAAAAAGATTTAAGAATGGCATCAAAATTTATTAGAGTGAAATCTGATTTACAGATAGTATTCAATAATGTTAGCCACATGTTTATATTTTTCCTCAGAGATAAATATTCTTGTTCCTTGGCCTTAACTTTATTTAAATCTCTTTCAAGTTTCTTTTAATTATTGTTCTTGTTTGCTTTTTCTCCACTTTATTTGTGATTTGATGTTAGAGATTGTTTCCTGGCCTTCACAGGTCCATCATAGTTCACTATAGTTACTGAATTAAAAAGTGCTTGAAGCTAGCAATTTCATAGTGAAAGACTATTGTCAAATTATATTAGGGGCCAGATTTAAGAATATTCCTGAGATAGATTTTGGAATGAGATGTTGCTAGTTATGAATTTTCTCACTTTTGTAAAATACAGTTTACTTTATCTACCAGTGATGCTTTGATCTCTTCAGTTCAGTTCAGTCACTCAGTCGTGTCTGACTCTTTGCAACCCCATGAATCGCAGCACGCCAGGCCTCCCTGTCCATCACAACCCCCCCGGAGTCTACTCAAACTCATGCCCATCGAGTCTGTGATGCCATCCAGCCATCTCCTCCTCTGTCGTCCCCTTCTCCTCCTGCCCCCAGTCCCTCCCAGCATCAGGGTCTTTTCCAATGAGTCAGCTCTTCGCATGAGGTGGCCAAGGTACTGGAGTTTCAGCTCGAGCACCAGTCCTTCCAATGAATATTCAGGACTGATCGCCTTTAGGATGGACTGGTTGCATCTCCTTGCAGTCCAAGGGACTCTCAAAAGTCTTCTCCAACACCACAATTCAAAAGCATCAATTTCTCGGCGCTCAGCTTTCTTCACAGTCCAACTCTCATATCCATACATGACCACTTTGATCTCTTAGTGTTATACTAAAGATAGTAAGAAGATAATTTGGTTGATACTTTTTAAGATGGTTTCATGGCTCTGATGCAAACATGGTTTATGATCGCTTTATTATTGTTTCTTGCTGTTAACCTAAGCTGTGCTAAGGAAATTGGAGCACTGTCTTAGTGTTCTTATCTTAGCATTTTGAGTTCTCCTCTTTTTCTCAAGGAGACATTAGGTATTAGATGATTGATTTTATCTTAGAGCCTGGCTTAACACGAATTTGAGATACAAGACTTAAATTGATTTAGACTATAAAGAGATCTTCAACTAGATAAGACTTGTGAAGTGTTGGTCAATTTTCTATCACTTTTTAGTATTAGGAAGACAGAATTCACATAGATTTATATATTCAAGGTTGCCTCTTGGAATTCAGTTTTTTGAAAAATCAACTAATGGAATATAATTTGTATTCAATAATACAAAACTTGTTATAAGTATACAGTTAGATGTGTTTTGACTAATATATATAGCCATGTTAACCACTACCACAACTAAAATATAGACCATTTTGTTTTTCTTGTATCCCTTGACAGTTAATCTCTCCCCATTCTTACTCTAACTCGAGACATCTATTAACCTATTTTCTGTCTTTATAGGTTAGCATTGCCTAGTCTAGAATCTCATGTAAATAGAATCATATATTGTCTGACTTCTTTCACTCAGTATGATAGTTTTTAGGTTTATCTAAAATTTAGTGTTAGGTGTCTTAGTAGTTCATTCCTTCTTGTTGCTGAGTGGTATATCATTGTATGGATATATCACAATTGATTTATCCATCCACCTGATGATAGACATTTGAATTGTTTCCAGTTTGGGGTTTTTATGAATAAAGCTCTTGTGAACATTTCCTTACAAGACTTTGTGTGCACATATAATTTCATTTCAGTAAATACATAGACATGGAATTACAGGGTCTTAGAATAAGGTACAATAATTGTGTGTAGAGATAATTCTAAGTCTACAAAAGAAGTACTAGAATTTATCTAAGTCACAAGATAAGGCAATATTGAAAAGTTAGTTGTATATAACTATATTTTAGCAGTAAGTACTTTGAAACATTTTGGAAATGAAAAAAAAGTAATGCCAGCTTGTAGTAAAATAAAAATTATGAAATACTTAGTTTTTTTAAATAAGTGACTTACACTAAAAACTACAAAACACCAATGAGAAAAATAAGATTTACAGAAATGTTAGAGATATACCTTGTTTATGGATTGAAAGACTCCATATTATATGTCAGTTCATTCCTTTTCCCCACTTTTCTTTCTTACCTTTTTTAGTGTTTCATTATACCTCCACTGACTTCCCAGGTGATACAGTGGTAAAGAATCCACCTGCCAAGGCAGGAGACACAAGAGGCATGGGTTCCATCCCTGGGTTGAGAAGATCTCTTGGAGTAGGAAATGGCAACCTGCTCCAGTATTCTTGCCTGGAAAATTCCATAGACAGAGGAACCTTGCGGGCTTCAGTCCATGGAGCTGCAAATAGTCAGACACAACTGAGCATGCACTGTTATACCTCCACTATTTGTTTAGTAGTGGTTGCCCTAAAGTTGTCATAGTGTATCTTTAAATAATATCATACCTTTCTATGTAATGGGTAAGAATTTTCAACAGTGTACTGCCATCTTTCCATGCCCCCATTTATGGCCTCTGTGTTAATTATTACACATTTTGCTTTCTATATTCTATAACATCACCCCCCCCCCATATGTTGCTTCCTTTGGCATTAAGGATATATTTCTGAAAATATTTTAAAAATAAGAATAAAATAACTTTCATATTTACTATTACTTGCATTCCACATTGCTTTGAATAGATATGCATTTTCATTGAAATATCATTTTCCTTCAGCCTGAAGAAATTCTTTAACATTCTTTATTGTGCAATCTTCTGGTGACAGGTTCTCTCAGTTTTTGTCTGAAAATGATTTATCTCACACTTTCTTAAGGATATTTTTTGGGATACGAAATTCTAGATTTACTTTTTATTTCAAATACTTTAAAGATAGTCTGCTTTCTTCTGGCTTGCATTGTCGCTGATGTAGCGTGCAATCATTCTTACACTCTTTCCCTGTATATTAATATGATGCATAAGTTTTAGATTTTCTCTTTATCACTAGTTTATTAAAATAAATTGGTTATGATTTGCCTCAATATGATTGGGGGGGTGGTATTTATTTTGCTTGGAATTTTATTCCAGAATCCATTTTGAGCATCTTTTGTAAACATGTATGTGTATATTATTAATTAATTGAAGAGTTTGGGGGTGTTTAGAAGTATAATTAAAGATACTATTAACCTCCACAAGTAGAATGGTAACAGTTTACTTTATAAGCACTTTCCTAATAAATGTCTCTTAACTTTTTTAACTTTTAGGGATTTACTGTATCATTGCAGTTATATATACCTAGATTGAAAGAATGTATTCCCTTCCTCTCCATATTTACCTCTGACTTCTATGTTGTATTTTTAATTACATACTTAATTTGTTGAAGTACTGACCTTAACTATAAACACTTAGATTTTTGATTTGCATAATTTAACCAAGTCAAGTCAATTTAATTTTTTAAAACATCATTAAATATAGCCATAATAAAATGAGATGTGGCTGCTTCTGGAAATCCCCGCCTCTTTCCAAGAGTCCTAATGACATGTCTTCTACTCTTTAAAATTTCCTTTGTTCTTCTCCCTTCCTTGATCAATGGATAAGGTTTCTGCTCTGCTATGCCTATATATTTATATAAATAATAAAATGAGTTCTTTTATCCATATTTAGGTTAAATCTCATAATGTTATCCTTTGTTTAAATATGTAAAGTGGTCTTCTAATTACAATTTATTTCTAAGATAATACTTCGATTTTGACCATAAACTAGTTTTGCTTTGAATTAATATATATGTGTGTGTGTGTGTGTGTGTGTGTGTGTGTGTGTGTATGGACATATATATATATATATTTGGCTGTACTGAGTCTTAGTTGCAGCGAGCAGGGTCTCTTGGATCATGTGGAATCTTTCATTTCAGCACATGGACTCTAGTTGTGGTGCACGGGCTCAGTCGTTGTGGCACATAGGCTCCGGGGTGTGTGGGTTCAGTAGCTGTGGTACCCAGGCTTAGTTGCTCCATGGCATGTGGGATCCTGACTGTGAGTGGAACTCACATCTCCTGCATTGCAATGTGGATTCTTCTTAAGCAGTGGACCACCACGGAAGTCCCTTCTGCTTTGAATTTAATAAAGACTTAGCAGAGTAAAACATTAATGGCAGACTTTTCATTATCTCTTGTTCTTTTTTTAGGCCTGATCAACCCCGAATAACCAAAGATGTAATTTGTTTTCATGCTGAAGATTTCTTAGAAGTAGTTCAACGAATGCAGTTAGATTTACATGAACCTCCACTGTCCCAGGTATATTTAAAACTAGTATTATCCTCAGTTTAATTTTTCTTGTGGAAAAGGCTTACTGGTATTTTGTGTTTTGTTTTGTTTTAGTGTGTCCAGTGGGTTGATGATGCAAAACTTAATCAGCTGAGGAGGGAAGGCATTCGCTATGCCAGGATTCAGCTGTATGATAATGACATTTATTTTATTCCAAGGAATGTTGTTCATCAGTTCAAGACAGTTTCAGCTGTATGCAGTTTAGCATGGCATGTTCGGCTCAAGTTGTATCATTCAGAGGAGGACACTGCTCAGAATACAGCTACTCATGAAACAGGGACATCACCAGATTCCACATCATCAGTTCTGGGACCTCACACTGACAGCACGATTTGTGCTGTAAGCAAAACCTCCTTGGATTCTATTTTTTCAGACAAACTTCATTCTAAATATGAATTACAGCAGATTAAACATGAACCTGTTGCATCTGTAAGAATCAAGGAAGAACCTGTGAATGTTTATATTCCTGAAAAGACTGGAACACCGAATAATATGGATAGCAAGAATGTTAAAGCAAAATTGGATCATGTTCAGTTTACAGAATTTAAGATTGAAGTGGACTCTAAATTTGAAAATAGCAACAAAGATTTAAAGGAAGAATTGTGTCCTGGAAGTCTCATAAGTCTAGTTGATACAAGGCAACATAGTTCAACACATTCAAATCAAGAGAGAAAAGATGATGACATTTTGTGTTAAATTTGTACATACCATTTAAATTTTTTTCCCCTAAACTTAATAGTGTAATAAAGATTCATGAATTCTGAAAGCAAGCCAAGGACTTGCTCCCAAGTCTGTTACAAAATATAGTTTAAGTAGCTTTGTAACATTCCTCAGTGCCTGTCCATAACTGTGAAGTAGCAAAGCACTTAGGGCCAGAAGCACTGTCAACACTGCAGGTTTAAACAAAGCAGTCTTTAAAAAAATCCTTTGAGTTGGAGTTGTAGGTTTTAGAATAGAGCTGACATTACCATATATATATATATATATTTTGTAATATGAGCCAGAATTCTTTTTTGACAATTAAGGCTTTTCCATAGAGTTTATTTATACCAGTTTTTTTTCCATTTTAAATGTGTCAGCACTGTAGTGTAAATAGCTTTTAAAAAATCTTTTTAGTGTGATTTATACTGAAATGTGAGCCACTTAATAAAGGTTCATAACAATAAACATGTTTTCTGTCGGGTCTGCCAAAAAACAAAAAGCAACATTCATTTAAATCATTTATTTCATCTGTTATGTTTCTGCTGGTATATCAAGTGCTAATGGAGTGCAACTGTATGTATTCAAATCTAGTTAATATTTAAGTTCCCCACACTGTGCAAGCATTTTTAAAACCAGGATTCAGTTATGAAAGCATATTTATGTGTGTGTGTATGTATGGGAATATATATATATGTTATCATATTTTGCATAACTTCATAAATTGCTGAATGAGTATGTGAAACTTCCTATACTCCCTGGAATATATTTTAAAATATTTCAATGTTAAGAAAGCAGTTTAGGTAATAGAAAAATGTTATAAGTTGGGAGAAAAAAGGTATTTTAGTGGTATCTAACCCTTCTAACTAATGAAGTAATGTGGCCAGATTATATAGCCCTATTACGTGAATTTTCTTTGTAGTGTGTGGAATAAGAAGTTGAGAAAATTTTCTTATTAATCAGCACCTATACTGTATCTAATAGTAGCTGGGAAAAAAAATGTTCAGTTACAGAAAGCTTAATTGCGTGCAGTTAAAATATTTTATTACATATTTCTTGAGAAACAGGAGAAAAAGATGGCAAATACAGCATATTAAAATAAGAGCAGTGACTTAACTGCCATATACAGAAGTATAATTAACAAAATAAAATTTGTTACTTGATCTTAGCATCCCTCTCCCTACCTTACTAAAGTAAACAACTTAGATTTTTTTTTTCTTTGAAAAGAAGCTCTGGAAAACTGGCATAGGAAACAAGATTGCCAGTGCCTCGCCAAAGATGATTAAAACAAATCTCTTCAATGATGGACTTTAGCACTGTTTCAAATTGCTTTCATTATTGTAATAAAAGTCAAGCAAATGTCTCTAATGTTTGCTTTGATGTTAAGAACTCTGCATTTGCAATTTATTTTCTTTAACTTGAATTTGGTATTTTTCTGGGCTCATGCTTTGGTTGATACTTTCAGCTGGAGTTCTCTGTGCTGCTGCCTTTTGAGCTTGTGTAGCTGTTCCCATTCAGTGGCTTCTGCGCTGGCCCATAAAGCTGCTTTATTTCTCTGATGAGGGAGAAGCCACTTGAAGGCATTTCGCTAGAAATAATAAACTGTAGCAATGGTGTCATTTCTGACCTCCAATTTAAAAGGGCAGGCAAATATTATACAGAAATATCAATGGTTTGTAAGAAATCAATCTATTTGCAGCATATGAATTTTCATGGAGTAAGGAAAGTATAAATCATCAAAATGTAAATAGGGTTTTTGTTTTATAACTTTCTTATCTTGCTTCTCACTACCTTTATCTTCAATTTTAAGCTAAATTTATGTATTTACACCTACTTTGAGGAGAGACAGAAGTTTATAATAAACCAGTATTGAAAATTGAGAGAGAATGTGATTAAAATGTTTAGTTTTTTATTTTTTTAAGTGAAGGGTGGTATATTTAACATGGTTTGCTTTAGCTCCATTTTTCCAGTGTCACACACATAGATGCATGAGACCATACTGTAAGAAAATGTCTTTAGGATATCCCTCCAAAATACATGAGCCTTAAACTTTTAAAGACATAACCTAAAACAACCAGAGTGGTTACTTTTTTAGTGTAGTTTCCTGTTTAACCTATTGTCAAACTTCTCCATATTTTGAAAATTTAATTGTGTTGTAAAATGCATACATCCCCGTAGAGGTGAAATACAAGTCAGTGAACCCAGATTTTCAAGATTCAGCCTTGTTACCTTGAGTCATGCTTATCTTCCTGTCTTACAGATTATAATTTTAAAATTTTCTCCAGATGCAACCTGAGAGCTTATTGGCTCCATTTGCTACATACAAATAATACGAACTTATACTATAGGGAATAAATGTTATTATGTAAATTATTAAATTGCTATACAGACCTTTACCAAAAAAAAAAGCAAAACTAAGGTACCTCAGTGGTGTCTGCTACAGAGATTTTTTTTTTTCTTTTCTTTTTAATTTTTTTGGTCATATCCTCTTTGGTAAGTAAGATATATTCCATACTCAGGTTAGCTATCAAAAGAATTAAACATTTGTGATATTTGGTTGAAAACTTTTACTAAAGCCATATTTATTATCTTCTTTGTCGCTACAGCTATTGACCTTAAAGATTAGGTTGACCTAGCACAGCACTGTGTGTGTGTGGTTGTATGTGTGCGCGTGCGTGCACATGTGTGCATGCATGCATGTGTTATAAAGTTATTGGAAATACTGTTTCTACATATATTCATTTTTTTATCCATTCTGTAACTGGCGGGGGGGGGGGGGTGGGTGGTAATGGAAGGTAGGAAATATTTTATTTCTTGGGTTAAGTATTCAAGGTTATTTCATTAGTGTTCCTGAATGTAAAACAGGTTTTTCCTGAATACTTATGGCAGGTAAGATCATCTTTGTAAATAATAGATTAACACTCTTTTGGTATATTTGGATTAATTATTTTTGGGGGTAATTTCATTGTCATGTAAAGCAAATATCAGTTTATTTTGCATTTAGCAAAGGTGCAGGATTTATTTTTGGAGAGGAATTTTCCTTGTCTTCCACCTTTCAATAAATACTAAAATTGATAATTGTGATAATTTAAATTTGTTTTGTAATTATTTTCTTACATTTGACATTTTATTTTCATCTTACATATTTGAAGTTCTTGTTTATCTTCAACAGAAATCATAAGATCTTGAAAGTGATTCCAATCTGAAAACTGTTTTTTCTCCTAAAAACTATGAAACAGAGTTGACTTCTGTCAACAGAGAGAAGAATAGTAAAGCTCACTTTAAAAAAAGGTTGCTAAACTAGGAAGGTGTGGGTGCCAGGGTGTAATGGTAAATTGCCTCCCTTCCCTCTAGATATGACTGTTTTTATCTTGAGGCGGAAGGACAAAAGTGCCATTGTTTTCAAAATACTTTTAGCCTGGTAAAATGTTACTTGATGGGTTTTATATGTAGCTCATTCTTAATCTTCCTTCCTCCTGTTTAACTACCTGTTGATATGTAAACAAAAGTTTACTGGTTTTAGAATGTGCTATGAAAGAGTTACATTAGAATGTGCACAGAAAGAGTTTTGTTTGGTAAGATTTGGTTCTGACAGTATACCTTAAATAAGAAAGTTAGGAGGACAACTCAAGAGAGCTATAAAATCCTATCTCTGTCCTGGCTTTTCTGTTCAACTCTTCATGTAACCCACTACATGCTGCAGATGGGAGTGAGTTTTTTAGAATGTTAAGCACAAGGAACCTAAAAGCAGTGATGTCTTTCCTTTTTTAAGTTTACAGATGTATATCATCTCTACTGGGAGAACAGGGAAAGGAAGGGGCATACATCTTTCTAAAAATTTTGCATTTATCTTCCCTTCAGGACTTCAGACCCAAACAGGGAATGTGAATGACCTGAGAACAAAATGTAGGAAACTGAATTATGTTAACTAGAAATTAAAAGTAGAATTTGTACTACTTGTATGCTCTGTTACTATTCTCTACCTTCTAAGAACTGTATGATTAAAATATGAAACTCTGAAATTCAACACAGTTTGAAGTTTAGATTTTATGCATTTATGTTTTTAAAATGTTAATTAAAAAATATTTTTATGTTTGTTTGGCTGCCCCAGCTTTTAGTTGCAGTCAGTCTTCATTGCAGGGCATGCAGGATCTTTTAGCTGTGGCATGTATGAATTGTTGTTTGTTTTTTTTTTTCAGTTGCAGACTGTGAACTCTTAGTTGCAGCATGTTGGATCTAGTTTCCTGACCAGGGATCAAACCTGGGGCCCCTGCATTGGGAATGTGGGGTCTTAGTCACTGGACCACCACGGGAGTCCCTAAAATGTTAAATCTTTACCCTTCCCTATAAAGTTCATTGCTGCTGTGCTGCTGAACACTAAGTGTGCAGACTCAGAGGCACTTGCAAATACTTTACGTTAACAGTGTTTTAAAACTTTTAGACAGTTCAATCCCCACTCCACTCTGAAAAAAAAAATTTTAACATTTATTTGACTACATCAGTCTTAGTTGTGGTCAGTAGTTGTGGTGCACAGGCTTAGTTGCCCCAAGGCATGTGGGATCTTAGTTACCTGATCAGGGGCTGAACCCATGTTCTCTGCGTTGCAAGGCAGATTCTCAACCACTGGAACGGCAGGGAAATCCCGAAATTTTGTTTCTTAACTGAATTGATTGATTTTTATGTCAAAAATCTCAAGTCTGTCTAAAAAACAAAAAAACCTTGAGTCTGACTTTATGCTCTTGTTCCCTCTGTCTTCCTAACAAAGTTCTTTGAAATCTGTCTGCTTCACTTCATCTCACTAAAATTTCATTTTAATTCTCAAATTTAATTGTTCAACCAAAGTGATTCTCCCAACTGTTCACTATAGATTCCAGTGACTCCATGTCTTAATACTTCCATTTAACCCCTGTAACACTTGTTATTGGTCATTTACTCAGTAAAACTGTACATGACCTGTTGGGGTTTTTTCATTGTTTTCGGTTTCTTTGAATGGCGTCTTTTACCCATCCACTACTATTTAAGACCCCTGGAGAAGGAAATGGCAACCCTCTGCAGTATTCTTGCATGGAGAACCCCATGGACAGAGGAGCCTGGTGGGCTACAGCCCATGAGGTTGCAAGAGTCAGACACGACTGAGCAACTAAACCACCACCACCACCATTTAAGGCAGTCTCTCTGATTCTTCCCTTTAGGGCTTTAGGTTATGTCCCTGAACTATCTTCATGACACCATGACTTCAGTCAGTCTTGGTTTCTTACTTAACCTCTAATGATCCATGCTATCAAATCTAAATTCTTCTCTTTACCCTTGCCCCCAAGAATTAGCTGTTTCATTCCCTCCTAATTTTGCTGTTGTATCACTCTACACAGTCATCTCATGGTAATCTGATTTCTGTATCTTTTCCTCTGTGTGCAGTTGACTCTTGGACAGTACAGGTTTGAATTGCAAGGGTCCACTAATAACACATTTTTCAACCTGTACCATATTCCTACACAACCTGTTACTGATTGAATCCAGGAATGTGGAACCTCGGATGTGGAGGGCCAGAGAGCCAACTGTAAGTTATTGGTGGATTTGCCAGCATGGAGGTCAGTGCTCCAAACCGCACATTGTTCAAGGATCAGTTCTACAATGTATCGTTAAATATTTTCTTGTGTTGACCCCAAAAATGTTTATAATTTGTCTATTCCTCTTGTTATAGTAGACGTTCACAGTCATAGATCTTCATCTCCTCTAGATTCTTAAAATAGCATAAACTGTTCTAGGCTGCCTGCAGTCCTCTGCCTCTACCCTTATTCCAACCTGTTACATTACCACCTGGTAATTAATGGCTTCACTAAAATATTTCAAGTTTTCTTTCTCAAAGCAAAGTGTGTTCTTTTTATAAATACCATCAGTAAACATCTCTACTAAGGAAGTATCCTGTAGCTAAAATCTAGAAGATAATTTTCTGCAGCACTTACTTACTGTTTATGTATTATTACATTAGTTTTGCTTTTCCTGACTTTAAGTATAATTTCATTTCATTTCTTAAAGTATATCCCAATTACTGAGACTGTGATATTGTGACTTTTAAGAAGTTAAAATATATATCTAGTCTTCATCCCTGTTCCTTGCACAGGAATTGGACACCCTTGTAATTTCCCAAGTGATAACTGTGAATAAGGTGTCTTTTGAATTTATGTTAATGGGGAGACTTTTGGTAAGGTCCTAGGTTTGAGGCCAGTTCCCTAGGGAACCAACCTGGTGATTAGAGTTGAAACTCTGTTACCTTCTCTCCCCCAGGGCTGGAGATGATTTCAGTCACCAGTGGCTAATGATTTAATTAATCACACCTATGTAATCAAGCTTCGATAACATCCCAAAAGTATAGGGTTCAGAATGCTGCTAGGTTGGTCAGCATGAGGAGATGGGGAAGAGTGGTGTGCACAGAGAGCATGGAAACTCTGCACCTCTTCCCCATACCTTGCCCTGTGAATCTCTTCCATCTGGCTGTTCCCGAGTTAATAATATCCTATAATAAACTGGTGCTCTAGTAAGTAAAATATTTCTCTGAGTTAACGTGAGCTGTTCTGGCATATTAAACTCGAGAGGGTCACGGGAACCTGCCGTCTAGAGCAGGTAGGTCAGAGGCGAGGTGACAACCTGAATTTGTGATTGGCATCTGAAGTTGGGAGGGGAAGGAAAAGGTGCAGTCTTCTGAGACTGCTTATGGGATGTGACTCTATCTTCTACTTCCACATAGTGTCGGAACTGAGTTAATTCCTTGGTGGTGTGGGGAAAAAACAAAAATACCTGGTGTCCAGATCAGGGAGGCACACATCAACAATACTGCTGCGTGAAGTTGCTTATTTAGTGTGGCAGTACACCAAAATTAAGAAAGAGGAGTTCTACTTTCTGGGACTCTTTCAGACACTTAAGATTGGTTGATCCTTAACGTGTAAACAAGTTGTTTATTGTGCTGCCTTTTACATACAATTCTTAACCTAAACCTCTTTCCCTTTTCTTGGAGACCAGCCCCACCTCTCCTGTTAGTAGTGTCATAAAAATTTCTACTTTTGCTTATTTTATGGCCTATAGCTCAGGGGTCAGCAAACTACTTTGCCCCTGGGCCATATCTAGACCACTACCTGCTTTTTGTATAGCCTGTAAGGCAAGAATAGTTTTAACAGTTTTAAATAGTTGAAACAAAAATCAAAAGAATATTTTGATATGTGGCAATCGTACAATGTTAAATTTCATTGTCCATGAACTTTTATTGGAACATAGCTAGAGTCTGTGGCTGCTTTCTTATCATATGAGCTAAGCTGAATAGTTGTGACAAACCCATATGGCATACAAAAGGTTTAAGTCTTTACTATACAGCCCTTTACAAAATAACTACTGACTCCTGGCCTAGCTGATTCTTGGCATGTGATGCTGTTCCTTCTCCTTTTCTCTGTGAGAGATTATACTTAGTGATACTTTCACAAATACAGGTTTTCCTAAACTACAAAACCTTATCTGGTTTCTCAGACGCAAAAGCTTTCTTCTACTTCGAATATACCCAATAATAGATTCCAGGGACAAATAGTTTAGATTTCTCATCTGAATTAGGACTACCTAGTCAAGTCTTGGAACATTATGTTCCCCATATTAACTATCCTTCTTAATCCTATTTTTACATATCCAAAATACTAATATATACCAATTATAAGATAGGAAAACATTTGTAGTTTTTTTTTTTTTTGTTTAACCTAGCTCTGTAGTTTCAAATGAAGAGTTAAGCAGTATTAATTTGTAGTGTTGTGTCTGAAACTTTGTCATGTTATCTGTCTACAAAGAAGAAAGGAAAGGAAAGTGAAGCCGCTCAGTCATGTCTGACTCTTGGCGACCCCTATGGACTGCAGCCTCCCAGGCTATTCAGTGCATGGTATTTTCCAGGCCAGAGTACTGGAGTGGGTTAGCTATTTCCTTCTCGAGGGGCTTTTCCTGACTCAGGGATCGAGCCCGGGTCTTCTGCACTGCACGCACACACTGCCCTCTAAGCCAGCAGGGAGAACTAGATCACAACGCTCTATTTAGGCAATCTTCTCAAGCTTCCTTGGTGGCTCAGATGGTAAACAATCTGCCTGCAACACAGGAGACCTGGGGTTGATCCCTGGGTCAGGAAGATCCCCTGGAGAAGGGAATGGCGGCCCAATCCAGTATCCTTGCCTGGACAACTCCATGGACAGAGGAGCCTGGCAGGCTACCGTCCATGGGGTCACAAAGAGTCGGGCACGACTGAGCTGGTAACACACTCAAGTACTAGCAGCCAGAAATCATTTTCTTGTTAAATATTTTTAAAATGAACACAATACTACTTTAGACTCCCAAAGCTAAGAGGGCTCTATAGGGCAAAAACAATCACCCTGACCCTGCTTTAGGGTTGTAAGACACTTAAGACTCTGGAATTCTTTTAAGTATTAAAATTAAGTATTAAGGCCACTTATGTGCCTGTTAAGTCGCTTCCATGGGATTCTCCAGGCAAGAATACTGGAGTGAATTGCCATTTCCTTCTCCAGGGGATATTCCCTGACCCAGGGGTCCAACCCTGCGTCTCTTGCAGCTCTTACACTGCGGGCAGATTCTTCGTGGCTGAGCCACTGGGGAAGCCCTGCTGCCACCTGTTTCACTGGGATTGGGAGGGGCATCTGCAATTTTTCACACCGGGACACCTGTAAGAATTAAAGGGGAACTGCCTCCCTGAGACCCCAGACCAATAGGCATAACCCGGACTGTCCTGACATAAATGGGATGGATGGTTCCCCTAATGTTAGGAAGAGGCAAGCTTCTGCTCAGTTTTTAATGCTACCTCTAATTTATTTGTTCCAAATGGAAGGCGAAGATAACAATGAAGGTAGCGTAGATAAAAAAACAAATGAAAAAAACTCAAAACTCTTAGATTCTTTTTGAATATAACCTTAAGTGGCACCCCTAATTATTTCAGTAACTAGGTTTTATCCTTCATAATTGAGAAGCACAAATGACTATTTACATTGGTCATAATGGGGCCATGATATACTAAATGTCTATTCAAATATGTAGACTAAAGACTTTACTTACTTTAAAGGCTTTTACTTACTTTTACTTTTTTACGTTTACTTCACTTACTTAACTTACTAAAGGCTTTTACTTTATGTTTACTTACTTCTAATATTGACCACATACCTAAAACAGATTATTCAAGAGTCAAGTAGAAACATAAGATCCAAAACAAACTTTATTCATATAGGACATTAAGTGTATTAATAACTCAAATATGGAATAATCAGGTTTTGGGTCAACTAGAAGTCACCAAGATTATTTTAATGGAAGCAGTATAAAATTACATTTGGTATTTTTCTCAGTTCTCTGGCATTCTTCAAGCTTGCAAAGATTCAGTACACTTTAGTAATAGCTTGCTGATCAGCAATAAAATGATCTGATGTCCTTAGAAGTCAGTCTCTCACAAAAAAGACGTTATATCCAAGCTCTATCAAAGCCCCAGCCAGCAAGGCCCATAAAGGAATGAAGACATAGGACAGATTCATGGTAGTAAACTGTTCCAGTTTAGCACAGAGTGCAAGACAGAAGGCTAATTTAAGTAACATTGCAATGAGGTACCAGGCTTTTTTTTTAATATTGTGTGATCCATGTCGAGGGTCAAAGCCAGACTTACATCGCCCAGCCATTTTCACAATCAGCATGACAAGAAGGATAGTATCAAATATCCAGACTGGAATAAATATGAGGAACCAGTTCCAAGGCGCCTTCTCATCCAGTTTCAACACCAGCATGATCAAGAAGAGTAGTGTGAAGAGCCAGGTGAGCAGTACTCTCTGAGCCAGGGACATTCTCATTTACACAGTTTACGGAAGCTGTTGCAGGGTCGAAAAAAGGAAAATATACCCTAAGAGAAGGAAAAAAAAGTCAAGATCTTAAATTTTGGTACCAGAAAAAGCAATTATTTCTATTCCTGGTTTACAAAGCTGGCTCTTTCTCAGATTTCCTAACTTTGAAAACATTTACCATCTCCCTTTCATAATCCATCAAATTTGTAGCCATCTTTGACAACATCACATCCATCATTCCATACAGCTGTGACAAAATACAATTTCTAGTATATCCACTGGGTATAAGTTCTATTCAAGATGTTTTAAAAACAGCCTGTTTCTCTTCATTGTTGTCACACAAATCCAGGCACTCAGGATCTTTTTCCTGTACCTCAGGGATGTTCTTGATTAACCTTTTTTTGTACATTTGCACACCTATTAATTTTCATTCAGTATCAAGGAATACTAAGAAAAAGCATTCAAAATCAAAGAAAGGGTGATATAAAGCCAGGAGAGGAGTTTTAATAAGGAGGGAACAGTTAAAAAAAATTACAACATTAAGTAGAACTATGATTGTACAGAGGTCATTGGGCTAAGTAACATAGAACACATTGGTAACACTGGGTTTTCACATAGCTTAATCTATGGGTCTAACATTTTTTAATCAAATTTTCTCAAAGTTCTTATAAATACCTATTTTCTTAGTCTAAAACTATTTTTAGCAATACCCATTTTTTTGGGTTTGTGGTATATAGCTTTTTTACTACTTGCTACCCAATAATCAAAACCACTTAAAAAACTTGTTTGGGGATTATTAGGTGCTAAATTGTTTAATAATTGGGGCTATTTCTTACAGTCCTATCCTGTCTTACTGATCGATGTCTGTTTTGCACTAGTACTGTATCACTGTTACTAGATAGGTTTTAGTATCTGGGAGGCCTAGTATCTATTTACTATTTTCTTCTCCAAAATATTTTGTTATTTGGCCCTTCCAGTTTTTCAATGCTAAAATCATGAAATTTAAAAAACTTGGAATTTTGATAGGAATCCATCAATCTGTAATACTTAAGTATAAACACATTTAATCTTCACATACAGGTTTACAGTATGTTCCATATTTATTCAAGTTTTTATATCAGCCTTGTGACCATCTGGAAAAAGGGTAAACAGAATGGCAAGTCAGAAGCCAGGTTGCATGAAGTTGGGTGAGGAGCTAACAGAAGATAATGAAATGCAAACAGGTGACAACATTTTGTTCCTTTGAAACAGTGGGAGAAGAGAAAATGAAAGATAAGACTTAAAATGAGGATACAAAGGATCAAGAAGAAATTTTCAGTAAAGGAGAGAAATGATAAACAAAAGGAAATAAGCCACTGGGGAATGACAGACTGAGGATGAGAGAGGATACTAGATGGCAAGAGGAAAAGATAGGCAGGTAATGGGGAAGGTAACAAAAGTATGGGTGACAGGAGTAAAAATTCAGGAAGATAAAAAATAAGGAAAAGGGGAGGAAACTGGCTAGATAAATCAAATGTCCTAGACTATCACCTTTAAATAATTATAGTTTAGGACTAACTTTGATTGTTACATCTTTACTACTTTAAACAGTGGGTAGCTATCATGATGCAAGAGTATGTATCTGTTTCATTTCAGTAATGATCTGAGTCTCGAGCTCCCTTCTTTCCCTTACACTACCCATCTGCTTGCACTCAATCTGAAGATACTTCATACGGCAGCATGAAAAGCAAGATGCTTTTGCTCTCAGGAAGGCTTTTTCTGTGCTAGTCTCCCTTCCTGGCCAGGGCTGCCACAATGGGATGTGGAACCAAACTTGGAAAAAGACGTGGAGAGGTGTGTACTGATTAGTAACTACAGATGGGTTTCATACTGTAAATTGAATTTGCTCAATTCCAGTTTCCAATCCCTCTGGCTGTTTTTGTTAACTTTAAAAAGAAGTTTATGATAATACATTTGCTTAAACATAGCTTCTATCAGCCAGCCATTAAATGAGTCAAGCTTTTTTTTGGTTTGTTTCCCCCACATAGGTCTGAGTAGTAACTCAATAAGAAGGGTAACTGCATTCAAAACAGGTGCTTTAAGGCTGGAGGTCAAAAGAATGCAAAAACACACAACCTTGTGGCTGCAAGTTTTTTTATGTGGGATGCAAAAAAGTTTTGTGTGCACTTTCACTAAAAGCACTCTATTAATATTTAAATGATGCTTGAAGGATCATGGGTGCTGGGGTACAATGATGACATACAACTCCCAATTTATTCATAAATCTCCATTAATTTATTATATTTTGTTTCCTACTACTTCTCTTCTTTCTCTTTTAAGGAGGGTTGGGGAGCTGCATACTCCAAAAAATTTTAAAGTATTTTTCATTTGAGGTGATTATGTTTTGCACCTGAAGACAGTTAAGTATATACCGCCTATCCGCCTAACACCTGCGCTGCTCCTAAATGGAAATCTAAAGGGCCCTGCGCCCACACAGGTCCATCATCTCGGTGTCAGGTGTGTGTGGACCCGATAACTTGTCCGTGGTGCTTGCCACACCATCTCCATTTCCCTTCTCTCGCGACTGGCAGTACACTTCCATATGAACTCGTCCTATCCCAAAGACAGTTTTGCTTAATGAGCCCACAACAAAGAATTCCTCCAGATAATGAGTCACTTTCGAAAGGTACCTACTTCAACAGCCTTGGCCAAACTGACCATCCTTCAAAGGAACAGCGTTCTGCTTACATTTACCTGGTTTTCGGGCCTACTTGTCTATAGAACTTCAGGGCGTTCCTAAGGGCGTTTCTGAACTATCCATACCCTTCAACTTCAAACGCCGACGATGTGACAGCGGCGCCCTATCCGAACTCCCCCCATTCTGCACTGTGGGCCCAGTACATTTTAAGAGTTGAACGCATTTCTTGTACGATATGATCCACAATGCAAACAGAAGCCTGGTGCCAATCCGGTGTATTTGGGGCTGGAGGGTGAGGGGATGGGGGCGGCGACTAGGGAGACAGACACAGGGTAGGTAGCGGGGGCCGAGTGCACTTCGGGGGATGCCGGCTCGTCGGGGCCATGGACTCACCCGGCAGTTCCGCTGTCTGGAGAGCGGAGAGGGGCTCGAAGATCAGGAAATTCGCCAGTTTGGATCCTTGGCCTTTTCCACACTTCTTCCCCCATTAAATCTAGAAGCCATCACATGATAGTCAAGAAAAAGAGACCGCAATTCCGCCGCTTCAAACGACCACAGTGCAGACTCTCTCAGGTCTACCTCAGAGCCGCGCCCACATCCGGGGCAGGGTCTAACCTCCCTGGGCCTCTCCTATAGGTAGAGAGAACGCCAATCAGAGAGCGCAGAAGCTACCTCCCCTGAATTAATTGGACTATTCAGCCGCCAGTGCAAACCAACCGACTTTTTCGTACAATCCGGTTTGTCAAAAAGATGGCTATAAAAGAAGGCACTGGGCCCGCCTCTTGACTGCTACGGGCTAGCAGGAAAGTCAGTCTAAGCAAAGCCGGGAGCATCCGTGGTCCCATTGGGCCTACAGATGCCAATTAGACTTTGTAGCGCTCGGCCCCGCCCCCTCAGGGCGCCCCGCCCCTCCTCTGGCTCTACCAGTCAGAGCGCGGAGACTGCAGGCTCCGGCGCAAAATCCTGCGGGAGAGGGGGTGGGGCGGTGGATCTGGAGGCGGCGCGCCCGCGGGCAGCTTCGTTGTGACTCCTCAGGCTCCCGCGGCAGCGGCGGCGCTCGCCTCGGTGTCTCCCGCGCGCACCCTAGCCGCCTCTAGCGGCGCGGCGCCCTTTCCTAAGGTAAGAGCCGGCATCACCTCCACGCTCGGGAGGGCCGTGTGGAGGTCGTTGGGTTCTGACATAAGCCGAAGATGAAGGTGGATGAGGGAGGAGAGCGGCGAGTGGGATGGAGGTGGGGGCTCTGGGGTCAACGCGTCGTCCTCCCGGCCCGTGACTTCGTCGGGCGGCCGCCGGCACCTGCGCTCCGGGATCCTATCATTTGGCCGGCGGCGGAGGCTCAGTTTCCCTCCTCCCGAATCCGGGCAGTTCTCGAGCATGGCTGGTGACGGCCCGAATCCCAGCGCCGCCTCTTGCCCCTCCCGCCCCTTCTCAAGGCCCCTCTCCTTCGCTTCCTTCCCGTGGCGTTCTGTTGGGGGCGCGTCGGGTCCGAGGGCGTGTGCGGCCAGCGGGTGGCCGAGTCCCGGCCAGAGGGGAGCGGCCAGCTAGCGGCCGGAGGAGCGAGCTCGGAAGGAGGGGGCGACTGCACGGTGAAAGCCGGCTGGCGGGGGTCGCTGCCCTGCCCTCACTGAGGGCAACAGTTTTCGGATTGCAGGACTGACTGCGGAGCGGGTGCTGAAATCCTTGGCTTGGGCCTTAAAGGGGTATTTCTTGTCTGGAAACAATGCCGCGGTCCATCGAAGTGCTTCACATTTTCTTATTTTTATCTGTCTCATGTTGACAGCCAGTGTTTTGGTATTGTTCCTTCAGGTCATGGCTTTCTAATGGAGCGCCTCTTTGTAGAACTTTGGAGAGTATTCTGTCGGTAATCTGATGCTCTTTTAATTTTTAGCGTGGTCCCCCTCCCCCTCAAAAAAGGACCTGCTTTATCACAACATGTACTGAGTAGGGAACTACAGAATCTGGGACAATTTCTTAATCTCAGTATCTGTTGACATGTACTAAGTAATTTTAAAATTCGTGTGAATGTATTAAGTGTTTTGTCATTTACACTTGCTTACTTTGTTAATGGTCTATCCTGCTTACTTTGAGGTTAGTCTGTTATCTGTGGTACTTTGATTTTGTAGTTTTTGGTTAGCTTTAGCCAACTAGACTTTTGAAGATCTGACCCCCGCCCCCTTTGAGATTGTGGCTGTAGCCTTAGTATTTGCTCTTGTTTCAAGGGGTTATGTATTTTTAAAAACTTTTTTTCCCCCCAAACTGGGTCTTTTCATAGCTTTCTAAAGTTTTAAGGGGGAATTCTAAAAATTTGGAGATTACACACTTTAGCCTAAAG